TAATATTGCATTAATAGTGTGTGGACAGCAATAAATTAACAATCACTTTTACCCTTCAACAGAGTTGACATTTCCACCCAGCAACTGGCAGTTTCTACTCATGAAGAAGCAAACAAATGCGAAGGTATATATATTTATATATATATAATCTGTTAAGTTAGAATTATGCTTGCATTGTGCTGGAAGAACTTACCCGACAAAGTAAGTTAATTCATCTTGTTAAGGTTGGTTAAATGTTTGGTATGTGATGCGGTGTGGAAAAGTATCTGTCAGCAGCTCATTGAGTTGTGCAACGCAACTGGCGACAAATTTAAAGTATAATATATAAATGCATAAAATTTTATTAAGAGTATAGACAGACGGCGTTGTTAATGCGCATTAGCAGCTTTAATTTGCATTTACTAGAATATTTTACTGTTTATTATTTCCAACATTGAATGACAAACTGCTCAGTGACTCACGACCGATTGCTACAACCACTCAGCTGATGCCTGAGTTTACCACCTTCGATTGTGAATGGCAATTTTGACAAGAAGAAGCATAAGGCGGAAAATAAAATGTGCCAATAAGAAGTTATTCTTAATTTTTTGCTTAAAAGAAATCTTTTTAAATAATTTAAAGTAATGATTTGCAGATTTTTTAATTAAAATTTAAATTACGAAACGAGTTTTTCGGTTGAAATTTCTCATTTTGCTTTGCCAGCAATTTTAGTTGTCATGACATATTTTAATATAAAGTGGTTCGTTTCGTGTTCTCAAAAGTACAGTGCTATGTTTCGACAACTGTCAAAGAAAACATGTTTTGTTTTAATTAAAAGTGAGGGATTTAGAGAAATGAGAGCGTTTAACGCTACGCTCTTAAGCGCGGTTGTTAAGGGAACCATTTCTCTAAATCCCTCACTTTTAATTAAAACAAAACATGTTTTCTTTGACAGTTGTCGAAACATAACACTGTACTTTTGAGAACACGAAACGAACCACTTTATATTAAAATATGTCATGACAACTAAAATTGCTGCAAAAGAAAAATGAGAAATTTCAACCGAAAAACTCGTTTACAAAAATTGTGCTTCAAACGCCACTTTTTCTGCTTTAAGAGCAGATTACGGTACATTTAATCGTCTCAAGCAACAAAATGAAGCGCAGTCTCTTTTACGAATATTTTTAAGGCCTGTGCGTCATCGTTTTGCACGCTCCACCTCAAATAACGCAAAACCGAAGACCTGTGTGTGTCTGTATATCGACGTTCTCAAGAGTTACTACATTCTGGCGGCATATTATGTCGTATTTTACCCTTGAACTTACACCTACATTCATATTAAGTTTAGCTCGCATAACAACTGAAATCAGCTGAGCTTTCACAAAGCCGTACATACGACGATTGGGTGCTTGAAGAGCGAAGCAATGGACGGCGGTTTCTCGAACGAAATTTCCTTCAGCGACGAGGTATACTTCTCACTCGGCGGATATGTAAATAAGCAAAACTGTCGCTTCGGGAACACTCAAACAAATTAAGGGAGCCCTAGTGTCTGCTGCACTCTTTAGTCCGGCGGTCTGATTAGAGCTTACATCTTTAAAAACGGCAAGGGCAAGACTGTTACTCTCAACCGACTTCCTTTGGCCTGCAATTGAAGCACACGACTTCAAGAAAATATGGAGCTTCAACAAGTTTGGTGTCACATGCCATACAACCAGAGCGTATATGACTTTATTACGAGAAAATTTTCTCGATTCCACTGAGATCCCCTTTAATACCACAAAGCCCTGACTTCTCTATCAACCACCTCGATTTTCTTGGGAACTTCATTGAATTGTTATCCTTGATGTCTGCTATCCCATATTGTGTTATCGCATTTTTGCAACGTAGCACCAAGTCAGACCAATCACATAATCAGTTTCTCCTCCTCATCATTCTTGTAGCTTCAGTGGCATCTCGTATAAAGAGCTCCTAGTCAGTCGAAAATGGCACGTTAGACCTTTTGCTACTTTGCTAATGTCCTGACATCGTATTTTTAGCTATCCATTTATCGTGATCTGACAAAAGGCATACCACAGCGTTTTATATAGAGAAGAATCTGCTTTGTCTGCCAAGTTCATTAACATTGTAGTCTCCAGCGTAAATCCATAAATTTGCTGCTTCTTCTTTTTTATTTCATATCAGCATTTTATTTATCTTCTTTGTTCCGAAAATTAGAGATCCCAAACGAAGTTAGAGTCATCATCAGCGTGTACCGCTTCCGAGTCATACAGAAGAAAATCGGGACTACTGACCAACGAAATCAAGCTCGGTGCCATATGGGCGACATTTTATTCTCCAGAGATTGTATTGCACTTTCTCCGTAATTTATGCTGTTATCACCCTCATATATAACTATATATGTATATGGTTTCTTGAGGATAACCTCACTCTGCAGCAAATTTGGTAACCTCAGCCGATGGGGTTGATGGCACAACGCGATGAGTTAAAAGTTTTTTTTACGCACATAATCACATTTGTATATACATATGTATGTATTTACATTCATTTTAAACAATATTTCAATAATAATTTTGATGCTTTGATCTGAATTGAGCTATATACATAGTTTCGTTCAAAGGTGATGATTACGTATAGCATTTGTGAATGGGCACACATCCATTGGGAATTAGCGCAACTCATGCTTAGATACATACATACATATGTATGAATATGAACATTACTTTTGTCCGAACAATAGCATTCAATTACAGGTGTTTGGGGCTTAAAAATTATCAAAAGAAAATTATTTAAATTTTTTTTATTCGAATATGTAATTTTAAGCAGTTACATACCTACATATGTAATATGTATAAGGGTTGGCAAGAGATTAGCACTTTTAAAAATCATTCGAATTTTTTACACAACCGCCAGGGCACAATTCTTTATATTGTAAAAAGATATTAAAACCAATTTTATAGCATATAAAACAAATCTGTATATATGTATACATAAATGTTGGTATATATGAATGAATGAATTTATTATTATTATTATTTATATTATTACTCCTTAACAAAACAACTTTTAATCCAATAGAAAAGAAAATTTCAATCGCGCCACGTTTTATATGAGCAAAAAGCTGCTGCATTTCCTGTGTAAACGTCAACCAAAATGGTTTTGGCCTTTTCTAAAACGGAAATCATTGTACAGGGTGAATGAAAGGAGATGAAATAGTGTCGGTTTTTAAAACACATACACTCTCTTAATTTCATTTTTCATTTATTTCATGTTTGAAAATAGTGAGAACATTATTCACTTTATATTGCTAAAATTAAATGTTCTAATCTAATTATTTAAACAAAATTGGAATCGAAATTACTAAAATTGTATTTATATAAGCAAGATTATAAATCACAACTAAGAATTTAATCTACCACTTTGAAGCGTCAAAAAGTTCCTAAACAAGCCCAAAAGTAGGAAAAGAAAAATCTCATAGGACGATAAGCATACTGTAACCCCTGCAGGTTAGGGTTTCAATAATTTACCCACGGTACAGCAAGCCTGTCGTAAGAGGCGACTAAAATCCAATAGATCCCGCGACAGTCGGGTCTTTATACCGGAACGACCCGGAGTTTTATCTGGCCAAGGACTGTCACTCCTGCCATTTTCCCCAAAAAGTACTTTGGGGAATAATTTTGCGATTACAACAACAATATAAGCATACTGTATCGGACCCATAATTTCCGTGATTTTACAACTTCCAATACAGCGTATCGTTTTAGAAAATTTGCGACAATCCTAAGTGTCTAAAATATAGAGTGTTGAATTCAAAAAAAAGTTTTTCAAATTATTCCAGAAGTCTAGCTGCTCAAAAAATTGAATAACGAAGCTTTCGAACGTCACTTAGTTTGTATTGAAAAATTTATTGTTTGCTTTATTGTTTTGAAATGAGTTTTTCTTGATATTTTTATAAGCTTGTGTTTTCAGTATGACATAACGGTTTTAAAAACTTACGATACTCCTTAGTCAATAGAAAATTGAATGAGGAGCTCAGAAACAAATTGTTTCAAATATGTTCCAGAATTCCGAATTGTTTAAAAGTTCAAATAACAAAAAGTTTGAACAAAACCTCACTTATAACCAGGTAAACGTTTTATATTGTTTCCTTAAAGCTGCAAATGTGGCTTGCTGCATTGGCAAATACATTGAGTAAGAGAAACGATCGGAGTTGACATTGCATTAATTTGTATTTCCCAATTGGAACTAAAAAGTCTTTTGTGATCAAATGGGAGTTGAGAACCCCAACTAAAATCGAAACCGATTCAGAGTGCCAAATTTCAATTGTTTTGTTGCTGCCTTTACTGTTTTCTTTCCAATTATGAGAAAATTGAGTATTTTTTATTGAAAAATATTGCAAGAAGTATTTTATATCAAATTTTTCTTGTAGCCCATGATTGCTTTTAAAATTGGGGAAGGTAAAGAAGGTACAGAACAACAAATTGCAATTAAATTCGTAAGGATTTTTAAACATGATTTCGCTATTTTCATTGATTCAATCAATCAATACGCCTGTGTAAACGTAGCCTTAAATGGAAACTTCCAATCGTTGTGGCAGCACGGCCGAAAGCAAAACAATTTGACAGCTCGAAAAGTTTTTTGGTTTGTCGTGTTTTATTATCATTTCCCGTGTATGTGCGCTAATGAGATTTTTGTAATTTTTAACAATGAATTAAAACAGTACAAAGCGTTGTACGGGATAAAAATACGCCAAAAAGTGTCGGTATATCACTGAAGAATATAAAAACAATAAAATGCAACGCGAATGCACAACTACGAAGAGCTGAAATCGAAATTCCAACACCACTCCACCCAGAACGAAATTCGCAACATCGGCTTGTGCATACGTGCGTTTCATATAAAAGCAAAAAAAAAATCAACATAAAACACAAGCCAATAACTTATAGCTACACATAATAAACGCAACGCCAACACAACAAAATAATAATAAGTGCAACAACAGTAATAAGTGTTGCAATTGCACAATGAAGCGGCAGCGGCCGTCTTCATGGCTGCAACTACTACATCTACCCCTACTCCACTGGCTGTTTATATTTCAAGCGTTATGGCAATTTAGTGCCGCCATACACCTAACTGGCACATTTCATACAAACGACTTTTTCAAAGTTATCACCAAATTTGGTTTCCAAAAAGCCGAAGCGACCATACCACATGGTGGCTCATTTGGCTACATATACGGTAATATCACAGCGAGTAAGGATAAATTTGTACAACCCATTTCATTGGTGGTATTGGACAAGAAGGCATTTGTTGATTTCTATAGTAATCGCAGTATTGCTGATCCTGAGTTGGCGTGTCAACGTATGTTTGCCCACCTACAACCGCTAATCTATGATGAGACATGCAACAAACAGGGTAAACGTGATTATGTGCGACGGGTGCCATGCCCACATGGTGGGTTGTGTGCGGACGAGGATACGCCCAGCAACGTGATAACGCAACATCAGTTCACCTACACTATTAGCGAAGTATCTGAGGCAAGGTAAAGTTTTTCTCCCTTTTCCTTTTTGAAGGTTGACAATGTTAAGTGTTTGCAAGCTACTGGGGGGGAGCGGGGTAGAGAGAATGTTGGCGGTGATAAAGAGTATAAATAAAAATAAAGCGAATAAATTCAAGTGTTTAGTATATAATAATATCAATGTTTACGTGATAGTAGTGTGGAATGGGGAAAACATTTTAATTTAATTTCTCAGAAAGTATAAAAAATTGCCTGCTTGGCAAATGACGTATGTATATTCATAGCTCTATATGTATGTATGTATGTAATTTGCTGTGCCTGCATTTTACTCTTATTTAAGTGCAATTTTTTATTCTCTTGCTTTTGCTTTGCAAACATCATAAATACTTGTTAAACAACATTTTCGTTGCTGTCTACCATTACTAACACGTGTACCAGTCATGCCACGCTTTAAAATCCAATATATACGGTTCATTTGTTGGTTATAAGTGCGAGTATTATTAACAAAATTAAAATCACAGCACACTCTATGTCTTGATACAATAAATTTCCGATGAAAGCGAACTGTTCAAAGATTAGATAAGCGCGCGCGTCTGTTTGGATGTTAGCATGAGTGGTCGGGTAGGCTCCTACATGTTGCCGTTTTGATTTTCAAAATACTTTCATGTCTATATATAATAATGTTTTTAAATGTATATACATTATTTTGGCTGCGTGCTTTACGCCGCTCTCCTTTCACTTGTTATGGATAATCTACCGCCAGCTGGCTTTGATTAGAGTGTGTGGTAGACGAAAGTAAAAGTGTAAACTATGTATGTACGTAATCTTATGTCAGTGTGAATTCATAATAGTTGCTTGAACTCTTTTTCAAGTTCAGCTGCAAAGTCATTACGATCAACGATCAACGCTTAACGAGTCAATTAGGCAAATTTAAGAAAGTACTTGGCGTGCATTTGAATTTTGTTTGACTATTTAAAGCAAAGTTGTTGTTGTTTTGAGTTTTCCCCCACCTAATGGGTATATGCATAAACTCATGTACATATGTACATATACATACATATGATTTTGGATATATTTCTATGGCTATACATACTTAGTTATCACTTATTCTATATTTAGTTATAAAATTTTGTTTCCATCATTTTCACTTACCAGCAACATTTTAATTGTTTTTAGAATTGTTGTATATTAATAGATTTATATTTGCTTGTTGTTTTAGTTGAATCGTGACAGTTTTTAGTTTCTTAAGCAGACTTGATATACGTACATACATATATCATTTTTATATTTATTCCGCACTTATTTACTTTAAAATATAAAACCATACAGAAATATAAATATATATAATATACATATACATATTTACAATACACCTTGTAACAATAAATATAATATAATTTTTTTTTACCAGATTCTGGTATGTCGCACTCACTGCCTGCTATCGTAATCGCACCACTTGTAAGTGGCAAGCCTACGATCATCTCAAAAGTTCCCATGAACTTGCCTATGATATTTATGTGGTCAATACACATCCAAATAATTCTGCAGCACATCCACTCAGCTTTCAATTCTCCTTCGATCAGCAGAATTTACTTGAAATGTATATGATTTTCCTGCTCGTCTATTTGGTACTATTACCGGTGCAAATATATGCTGTGCGTTTGCAAAAACATCCTGTGACGCGTCTCTTTACCCTTAGCTTGGCCAGCGAGTTTGTCAGTTTGGCTTTCATTACGGCGCATTTGATAAAATTCGCTCTCAATGGTGTTGGCATGCCGAATATGCAGACAGCGGGCGATATATTGGATATATTTAGTAGAGTATGTAGTGCAATTTGTTATTTCTCATACCTGAATTTATTGTATTTTACTTTCCTTTCTCAGACTACTTTCATGTTAATCCTGCTGCTGTTGGCTAAAGGCTGGGCCGTTACGCGTCAGCAAATAAATCGTACTGGTTGGATTATATTGATGAGCATATGGGTACCATATTGCGCTTTTCAAATGTTCCTCTATGTTTGGGATAAGGTGTGTCGTGTGATATAAGGTTTTGTCAACAGGAAATAAATAATACTTGGTTTTTTTCTCTTACAGACGGAGGTCGATATTATATCCGATGTAGATGAATATCAAACTTGGCCGGGCTGGATTGTTTTGATACTACGGTATGTGTGGCATGGCCTGCGATGAAGCAAATAATATACTAACAACCATCTCTCTGACCTATAACACTTCTCTATTGCCTTCTTTTGTGAGGTCCAAGTATTACGTGACTGGTATGACTTGATGACTTAAACGTGGTGAGATCACCGAAAGTGTGGTCAGTGAATAACATTCGGGTCAACCGGCTGTCATGAGCGTCGTCATGTCACGAGTACATCTTAGGTTTGGATATTGTAGCAGGTTGAACTTGATCCCAACGTATGCCCAGCATGTGGAGAGTCTCCGCACTAACCACCTCTTTACATGTTCCATTAAGCCGACATATTATTTCGATCCCGTCGAAACAGCACGTTTCCTGGACCTCACTTCAGTGATTTAGATTGATTTTAAGCCCGTCTCTAAGCGGGGTCAACGTAGCCACTACAAGAACAACAGCTACAGCGTCATCACGTCAACATTCGTAAGCGGAATAATTGCAAGGAGCATTTAAGATCCTGCAACCTCCCCTCTGACTGCGATGACCTGTTGGAAATTTCCTTCGGTGGTAAACCGCTACAACAACAACAATGAAGTCGTCTCTGAAGTCCCATTGTAGTGATTGTGCCCGCAAAACTATTTCCCAAAGTAGTTTAGGGGATTATTGCTGGAGAAACAGTCTTGGCCGGATAAATTTCCTGGAATTTTTGGATTTTAGTAGCCCTTTACGACCGACATACCTTACCGGGTGCGAATTCTTGAAACCCTACCCTGCAGTGCTCTTAAGCTTGACGTTATTTATAGCTTTGCTTGGTACTAGGAGTGGTAAACAAGCCGCTCCTACACCTTCCTCAATGCTCTTATTCCCATGAATGAGTTTATCGCAATCCAATCACCACCTATTGACGATGAATACTTCGAGCTCTATGGTCTGAAAAAAAGTTGAGGTGTTATAACTGCTTCAGAGAGACTATTTTGAAAAGTTTCTGTACTTATAACCTCCGAAAATACCTTTTGATGTTATACATTTCTTTCACATTATACAATTTTCGGTTCTTCTAAAATCAAAACTAATTTCTTTTTCATTTTCCAGCACATCATTCATGACTTGGTTCCTCTACGAGCTGCGGAACACCATGAAATACGAGCATTCGACGAAAAAACTGGATTTCTTGCTGCATTTGGGCGCCTCCAGTCTGGTGTGGTTCATCTATTTACCCATTGTAGCTATCGTCGCATTGCAGGTGAGTCCAATGTGGCGTTACAAATTGCTGCTGGGCATTACCAACTCAGCCGACTGCCTGGCATACTGTGTAATGACCGGTTTGTTGTGGCCCAATCGTTCGGGCCAATATTTGTTGTTAGCCGGCAATAAGTACACAGGTGAGTGATTTTGATTTATGAAGTGGTTTTCTCAGTGCTTATTTCTCTCTTTCTTTCTCTCTCTCTCTTTCTCTCTCTCTTTTTCTCTCTCTTTTTCTCTCTCTTTTTCTCTCTCTTTTTCTCTCTCTTTTTCTCTCTCTTTTTCTCTCTCTTTTTCTCTCTCTTTTTCTCTCTCTTTTTCTCTCTCTTTTTCTCTCTCTTTTTCTCTCTCTTTTTCTCTCTCTTTTTCTCTCTCTTTTTCTCTCTCTTTTTCTCTCTCTTTTTCTCTCTCTTTTTCTCTCTCTTTTTCTCTCTCTTTTTCTCTCTCTTTTTCTCTCTCTTTTTCTCTCTCTTTTTCTCTCTCTTTTTCTCTCTCTTTTTCTCTCTCTCTTTCTCTCTCTCTTTCTCTCTCTCTTTCTCTCTCTCATTTTCTCTCTCTCTTTTTCTATCTCTTTCTCTCTCTATCTATCTTTTTCTCCCTCTCTCTCTCTATCTCTCTTTTTCTCTCTCTCTCTCTATCTCTCTTTCTCTATCTCTATCTCTCACTCTCTTATTCTCTCTCTTTCTTTCTCTCTTTCTCTTTCTTTTTATCTCTTTCTCTCTTTCTTTTTCTTATCCACATAGGCATGGACGAGCTGGACGAATTCAATGAAGCGCCACATATTGTACGCGAACGTGAACGTCGTCGAAACTCGCCCGATGCAATAATTATAGCGAATGGGGATGTTACGCATGCCAACATGAATGGCGGTGTGGTCGGGACACTAGGTGGCGGTGCTAACACTTTGCTTACAACAACGAATGCGGTGAATGGTGATGCATGTGTGGATTTGCTGGAGGCAGAAGATCTTGATGCGGTACTTTTAACCGATTTGAATAAAAATAGTCATGTTGTGGCATAAGTGTTAATGAAAATGTTGTAGTTGTAGTAGTGTAGTAGCGCGCAAAAATGAAAGGAAGAGAGGATGTGAGGAAATATTGTACTGTAAACGCTTGTAGATTTGTGAGTTATTTGATAAATGTTTTGTTTTTTGCACCGTTTAGTAAGTGCACAGACTACTTATATTTATATAAATACATACTTATATTTATATAAATATAGTATGTAATGTGTGTGTTAGCGCAGTAAGCAATTAATGGGTAGGTAAAAAAAGAAGAAAAGTTTATGAAATTTTGATGCGAAATTGTCTGACAATGAAAAAGTAGAAATGGTTGACGAAAGTCGTTGTGCATCGTATGTGATGATTTTATGATTTTATACATATAAACACTATTTTATTGTAATTATAATTATTACTATGATTAATTATTGTATTATTATAGATATTTACTTTAGTTTTGTATATTTACATTAATAAAATCTATGTTTACATTACAATAGCTTTTAGTTTAGTTATAAATTCTTACAAAAAAAAAAACAAACAATACAAAATATATTGTATAAACTTACATATTTCTATTTTGTGATGTAGTCAAGTATACATATGCATATGTTAATAAACAGAGCAGACATTGTAATTATATGAAAGAAGAAACTCATTTATATTATGCACTTGGTTAATGCATAATGCCATTAAACATACATATATACATATATATATGTCTATATAAATATAGCGAGTAAGCAACACATTTCATATTGTATGCGTTTATTATAGAAACAACAAAAACAAAATCTTTATAAAACATAGCAGAATAAGCACTGTTTGAATGAGCATTATATTGTACTTGGGTAGTTACATACAAACATACATACATATGTCGATAGTTACTTTAGTAATAAATAAAAGAAGTGTTACACAAACCAAAAACGACAAAAAAAACGGCAACAAATCACACAAAACAACAAAAAAGTACGTGTATGCTGCAGGTACACAACGATTTCTGCAGCCTTGTGCTATATGGACTTTGTAAAATGAACTTATGATTGTTAATGTAACAAATAAAATTTGAAAAAAAAACAACAATATATATGTATATGTATATGATAATGAAAGTTTAAAAATTTGCAATGCAACATAAAAGAAATGTATATACATACATACATACATGCAAACCTACTTACATATACCTAAAACAAGTGTCAAATTATATTTGTAAAATGCACAAATACAAGTAAAAGTTTTTTCATACATACTTACATACCTACATACCCACATATATGTATTGTATATTTAGTGCGTGTAGCACCAATCCCCACCCTCCCGAAAAAAAGATGTGAGCGCGCAATGCAGAAGTTTCAGTAATAAGAAAAATCGATGTTAGAAAATATTGCAGTAAAGAGGAGTTAGTGAATGAAAAAGTAAATAAAATAAAGTAAAATGTGACGCATAAAATTTAGAAACTTAAAAATGCACAATGAAAAAAAATGCAGCATTAAAAGATTTAAAAAAAAAAAAACAATTTGCATTTTTCTAAAACCGCTGTAACAACAAATTATCGAAAGCAAAGAAGCCCAACTTCCCATAAAAAAAATTGGAATAAAAAAATTAAATAAAATAAAATATAATTAATATAAGAAAGTAAAACAAAATGAATAAAATAAAATAAATAAAAGAAAATAAAATAAAAAAACTAAACAAAAGAAATTAAACAAAGTTTAATAAAAAAATTTATAAAATAAAATAATAAAAAAATAATACAAATATATAAAAAAAAAAAAAATATTTGAAAAAAAAAGTTCAAAAGAATGATTAAGAAAAATTAAAAATTTATTAAAAAAAATACAATGTAAAATAAATAAAAAAAATAAATAAAATAATTAAAAAATTAATAAATAATTAAAATAAATTAAATAACTTAAAGGAATTAAATAAACTAAAAAAATAAAGTAAAATTTAAATGAAATAAAATAAAAAATAAAATAAAATAAAAGAATGAATAAATAAAAAAAAATAAAAAATAAATAAATAATAAAACTAAATAAAATAAAATAAAAAATTTAAATAAAATAAAGTAAACAGCTAAAATTAAATCAAATAAAATTAAACAAAAAAAGTAAATAAAGCAAAATTAAAAAGCTAAATTAAATCCAATAAAAAAATAAACAAAAAATAAGAATATTAAATAAAATAACAAAAAAATTATAAAAATAAAATTAATAAATTGTACAAAAAAAAAATAAACAAATTAATATATAATAAAATATAAAAAAATTAAAAAAGTTTAAAATAATAAAAAATAATAATAATAATAATAATAATAATAATAATAATAAATAAATAAATTAATTAATTAAAATAAAATAAAAAAATTATATAAATTAAAATAAAAAATGAAAAAACAAAATAAAATAATAATAAATAAAAAAAGAAAATTAAATAAAATAAAGTAAAATAGCTAAATATAATAAAGTAAAAACTTAAATAATATAAAATAAAAAATTATATACATTAAAATAAAAAAATAAATAAAATAAAATAATAATAAATAAAAAATTTTAATAAAATAAAGTAAAATACTTAAATTAAAAAAAGTAAAAAACTTAAACAAAATAAAATAAAAAAATTATATTTATTAAAATAACAAAATAAATATAATAAAATAAAATGACTTAAAAAGTTAGATAAAATAAAATAAAAAAATTAAATAAAATAAAGTAAAAAACTTAAATAAAATAAAATTAAAAAAAAAAAATTATAATATTAATTAAAATAAAAAAACAAGTAAAATAAAATAAAATAATAAAAAAATAAATAAAGTAGATGAAGCATAAATAAAATAAAGTAAAATATTAAATAAAGTAAAATAAAAAAATAAATCAAACAAAATAAAAAAATAATTAAATAAAATCAAATAAAATATAAAAATTAAATAAAGTAATATAAGAAAATGTATTAAAACAAAAAAAAATAAATAAAGTAAAAAATGTAATAAAATAAAATAACGTTAAAAAATAAATAAAATATATTAAAAAGAAAATTAAAAAACCTATTATACAATTAAAAAAAAATTAAATAAAACAAAATAAAAAAATTACATTTAATAAAATAAAACTGTCACAAAATACTTTTTTTAAATCATTCACAAATTTATTGCTGACTTCGAAAATTCGCAACATTCAAAATCAAATAAGAAAAATCGCAAATTTATATTTTAAAGCCACTGTGTAAGGACAAATGAAATAATAAAATGTCTTTATACAAAAATTAAAAAGAAAAACACAAATTGATATTGCAAAGAAGCAAACACAAAATCACACCCTGTTCTCAAGTGAAGTTTTACGTAAGAAATATTTTTAGTATAGATAAAGTTTGGAGAATTTTATGCAGTTGAAAGAGACAAACCAAAAGTTGCAATTAAAATGAAATTAAGAAAAATAAATTAATATAATTTGTTTCTTATAGCTATTTGAACACTTAATTTAAACTGATCCGCAAAAATGTGGAAGCAAAATGCCATACGTATCGGATTTGTTGAGTATTATTTGTGAATTTTACAAACTTTTATAATGTTTAATAGTATACAACGTGTTTTTAATTTCAATTAATTTTTTTTATTAAATTTATATTATTTCTTTTATTTTAAAACTTATTTTTAATGCAATAATGTATAAATAATTTTTGAAATATATTATTATTTTTAAAATATTTCTGAATAGGTTTATTGTTTTGTTTTACAAATCCTTAAACGTTTCTTTTTTTTAATTTTTCCTTTTTTGTATAATGTTAATTTTTTCTTAATGCTTTGAACACATTTTACTACTTTTATATATTGTAAAAATTATTTATGTATGTATAATGTATACATATTTGTAATTAAATGTCACAAATTGAAAATAAATTTATTTAAATTTTTTTAAATGATTATTTATTTTATTTCAATATACGCCAATTTTAGTATATTTTTTTTTTGCAATACGTATTTTTTTACGTATTTATTTAATTTAATTATATTTTATAGATATACTTAATTAATTTAAATTTAAGTAATTTAATTTTTATTTATTTTGTTGAATTTATTTTTTATTTAATACGATATATTTTGTCTTTGCTCAGGTTTAATTAAATTTACTAAATATTTTATTTTGTTTTATAGTTTTTTATTTAATTTTAATGAATTTTTTATTTTATTTTAATGTATTTTTTTAATATTCTTTTATTAAATTGTATGCCTAGTTTTAATATACTTCATAGTTTTGGTTTTCGTTTGGTACATTTTCATTTTATTTATTTTTTGGGCTTTAATATTATTTATTTTGTTGTAATTATTTTAATTTGGTGTATTTTCTATTTTAATTTTACTTTTAGGTTAACTCAAAAATACTCATTTTATTTTGCTTTATTTTAAGGTGGTATTAAATTTGTTGTAAAGTATTTTTTATTTTATTAATTTTGAGTTTTTCAAGTTGTTTTTAAATTCATTTATTTTATTTGATTTGTATTTTGTTATTTTTTATTCTGTCCAGTAAGACAGACATTTGGTTTTATTATTATTTTTTAATTTTTTTTATTTCTTTTTTATTTTACTATGTTTTATTTGAATTTGTTTTATGAAAGCACATATTTATAGCATATCGCTACACTTGCTTATAAACCTTACCTTCATACGTACCCTTTAATATGTAAAATACAAATAATTCGAACTATTTTGAAGAACCATATTTAATTTTTTACAGATTTTAAATATCATAATAAACATTACATTCAAAAATTGTAGTTTTCATCTCGTTTTACTATAAAGAATAAAGGTAATGTAGTTTTATAATATCTAGGACATATTATGGGAGCTTATAAAACTTAATCAGAACTTCATTCATAGACCTGACTCTTCTTTCTGTTTCAAGTGAATCTATGAAAATGTCGAAGTGATTGAAATTACTAGAAGTCTAAGCACCGCGACAGTTTTTCAGAAGTGGCATAACTCATCTGTAGCTGTGGCTTTTTACATGCTGCGGATTAGATTTCAGCAGCACTCAACTTTGTTACATATGTAAGTTTTATTTATTTAAATTTTTATACAACATTAATATCGTTTCGATTATTCCTTAACTTGTTTTGCATGTCAAATTGCACCAGTACTGTTACTTTTACCAAAATCGTCAAAAAGAATTGTAGCGAAGCCATTTTATTAAATTCAAATAGTCCACATACCATATAGCGAAGTTTATGGCAACCCAAATGCGTGGAAAATGCGTCCAACTGAAAAAATGAACATAAATCAACCGTCAACAACTGGAGGCTATTGAAATAAAATATCTTGGAAATTGACACAGCCAAGAAACATTCACTATACCAGCCTACATTTAAAATTTTGAATATTTTGCCCGCCTATCAACACCTCAAGCTTTAGCTCTGTGGTATTCCCAATCTCCCTAACACTCTCTTACTGATTTACCACATCATACTTCTAGGTTAGTGATTCACAGCAGTTTTTGTCTAACTAAGTCCACATACCAAAAGTTCTCTTTTGAAACACCAATAGCTTCTTTTCTAGAAAATCCACTTACCGCTTTCCGCAAGCAATCACAGCCTTTTACATCCATAAACTCAGTATACTCCCGCAGCAACTTCCCAGCGCCATTACACTCTGACAGCACTGCATTCAGCATACTCATCACCATTGCTGTGTCGCTAAAGAATAGTGTGGTAAATAATATCTCCTCGGCTTGTGACCATAAATTCTCCGTCTCTCTTTTACTCAGAAAGTAGCAAGCGCCGTATACAGTACGCATGTTAGCTGCAAGCAAACGTAACAACAAAGCAGCCAATGTGAGCTCACCAATTGCGAATATCTCTTGCGTTAGACGATAGCCAGCGAGGTGCAACATTCCCAGAGAGTTGATACGGCTGGCGAGTGCAGTTTGTACTTCAGCGGCTTCCGACGATTGTCGTCGCAGTTGCTCCAATACTAGACATAGTTGGATATTTATTTGTGAAAATTGTCGATAAAGCTGACTGAGTACGCAATAGAAGAGACCCGAAAGGGTAAGCACAAACGTGTTCAAACCAAATGAGATGCAAGTAATTGGCAAGTATGTGGCATCGGTGCCGGGATGCTGATTCAGAAAATAGTACGCATTCATTACAACAAGACTATATGCAAGAAAAAATTTGAAAATGATTAGATTTTCAATATGACGCTGTGGATCTCTGTTGTGTTGTAATGGAGTTTGGTTTCCTGTCACTTCTTCATTTAGTCCTGCAACTATCCTTTCCCCTGCAATAATACACCGACTCGCCGCTAGGGAAGCCTCTAGTCCCATTTCCTGCAGCCAATAATCCAAGTAAACTGCCATTGTTCGTTTCCTTTTGCACCACAACTCTTTGACGAGTACAACCACGAGTAGATTTTTCGTTAAATATGTTACGCTGTAGGTCCATTGCAATACGGGATCTCTTGTCAGAAAACCATGATTGTAGTAATAGTAGCCGGCGTAGGTTGTGACGAGTACACAGAAACTATGCGCGAAAACAGTGTGTATGAGATAAAAGCGAGACGAGCGAAATGCCTGTGTACCTCGGTCCAATGGTGCAGGCAACAGACCCACAAGTAGTGAGTTGTAATATAAAACATTCAGCACGATGCGGTGTAAACGTTCGCGTAGCATTTTATATTTCTTACTGTTGCGTGGCTTCCCTTTGGCAATGCCCGAATGCAAATATTTTGAGCAACTATTGTTGTTTGCCTTGATGGACATTTGAATCAATTTACTGATGCTATCTCTCAGGGCGTAGAGAGTGGGGTTATATATTGAGGGGTGGAGCACCCTTACAAGGTTGAGTATTTTTTATAAGAATTTAAGTAACTTGATTGGGTCACTCTAAGAAGCATATAAGTCATACTCACTGGCGCTGTAGACGCTGGATGGTTCAGGAAACAGCCTTCCAGTTCCAGTCCACGCTTTGTAATATGGATATGACGAGTCGAGTTGGAGCATCGTCAAAAGTAAAGCAAAGAATTCAAAAATTCTGTAGAGTGGCTTGCAGTGCGTGACACCATGCGGACGATCGTGGTTTTGAGCCTTGGACCACGCTAAATTGAAGTATGAGTTCGGCCGATAATCGCTTCAGCATTCATAAATAGCGCGTATAATATAAAATCCTGCAAAAAGCTCTTCTTCATGAATTTATTCTTCCGTACTCCCCCGAAGGATAAAGCTCAACTACACACCTGTCTCTCCGAGCAATCGTAGACAAAATCAATTAACTTACTAGAGTTACGATGTTGATATGTGCATAATTTATATGCATTAATATTTGCATTCCTCTTTACTTGGCAGTTGTGTGGAGCTGTATGGGTTATTTGGCTGAAAAGTCAATATTATTGCCGTTAGTTTCGAAGTTAGCATTAGTGTATTCTCTTCGTAGTTAGACGCGAAAAGGACGCGCCCTAGTGTATCCACCTATTTTTTCACCTGATCGTTCCAACGGATTGATATTCTTCCCCTGCCCCTGCTCACAAGACCGGCTGAAGTACTTTCGTCGCTATCTTTTAATCCGTAGAGGTGAGAAAACGACCCTCTTCTTGAATACTTCTAAAGCAGATTCACCTGCCAATGCAAAGTAGGACGGGAATGTAGAGCCTTTCGTAGATTTGCTTACTCAGTCTGAGGGAAATAAAAAAATCTCACACTAAAATCTAAAATTTTGTATTCCATTCCTTTCTTGGGGTTTCAGTCATTAATAAAGCTTTAGTTCCATTATTATTTAAGCTATTATGGCGATGAAAATTCGGCAAGTTCCTGGTACCGAAAGCTTTGACAAAACTTCTGTTATACGCATGCAAATTATAAAAAAGCTCACCAATATGAAAACTGCGTTCACAAGTTTTCCGCTAGAAAAATAGTGGCACTGCTAAATCCCAATAAACGATTATCGCTACAGTGTTACTCAAACTATGTAATACGGCAAAAAAGTTGCAGCAGAGAATTTCACTACAAAAGAGAAGGCGCAAATGTAATAAAATAAAAAAAATAAATAAAATGAAAAAAAAGAATGAAAAAATAAAATCAAATAGCAAAAGAAGAGGAATAAAAAAATAAAAAAAATGAAATCAAAATAAAACAAAATATAGTAAAAATAAAATTATATGAAATTAAAATTAAATTAACCTAAAGAAAAATTGCTGGACAGAATAGATACCGAGAGCTTTAAAAGCTGGCCTACTAGGTGATCTAGTGACTGATGCCTAGAGTATATTGAATTTAGAGAGGGAACACATCTCCAGCCCGTTGAATGGTAAGGAGAGGGCAACACCAGGAGATGACGATGGAACAAATATTTTATTGCCCGACTATGAAGAAGTTCGAATAGCAATCGGATTCTTGGAGGGGGCCGATGGTATACCGGTCAAGCTATTTAAATGCGGCGATGAAAAACTGACTACGCATGGGCCATGCATCTCCTTATTTGCTTCTTTGGTCGAATGAAAGCCAGTCAGCGCATATAAGGTACTATCGAGCGTCTTGTGCGTAAACACCGCCACATTTCGTTTTTTTGGCTGTGCAGTTAGTATATGCGAAGGTTCAATTCGCAATGAATATACAAGACTTTAAATTATTTTTTCTATATAATTTTTAAAATTTTTTAAATATTTTTTAACTTTTTTATTTTAACTTTTCAAATTGTATGTAATTTGGAGTTCATATGTGTTCCAATTGATAAAAACAATGACTACAACACGTTCATAGAAAGAAATTAGGCAGAGTTCGTGAGTTTTTTGAATGTCTTTCCTTCCTTTTTCACTTTTTGCTTATTTATTAAATTATTATTTTAATTTAATTTTTAATAAATTTAACTAATTTATGAAGTTGAATCTCATTACATACACGTTCATACAACGCTAATTACCGCACTGCATTCAAGATGAGTATTTTCTACTTGCATTTTGAGTGCGACTACTTTAATGGGTCGCGTCTTCGCTTTCGATCAGTCCCCTAATGGGTCTTGTACGTGCTAAGCTATTGAATCTAAGTAAAAAGCACAAACAAAAATATTGGTTGGCATAAAGTGCCAAGTCCTTGACTTTGACATTTCAGAGTAAGGTAAATATTTTAGCATTAAGCAATATTATTGGAATTCTCGTGGTTTTCGCCAATTTTTTCTTAAATTCCGAATTTTTGCAACAACGCAATTTAGCAACTAAGCAATTGAAATTTGAGAGGTCGAGTAGAGGTTTCTTTTCATTTCCAATGGAATTGCAGAACACCTGTTAAGTAGCAAATATATGTCGATGCCAACGCAATTCAGATCGGATTTCAGCACAGTTTCGTGTGTATTTAAGCTTTAAAATAATCTGGTGTTAATAAACAGAAACTTCACAAGTGTTAAAGAAGTAAAAATCTATTTCAAAAAAGAACCTCCAAAGTAATTATCCAAATTTATTGTATTGTATTTAAGACAGACCAATACTACTTAAGTCTCTTAGGATTTTACTATAATGTAATAAAAGAATATATCGATTTGTTACCACCAGTAATAAGTTAAAAGGCACAGACACATTCCCGGTCACTGTAAAGCAGATGAACTAGTCAGATTAGACTCCACCTTACAATTGGATTCAGCGCTGGTTACTTGTAGTTATTTAAAAGTAAAACATATTGTTACGATTTTGCTGAATCAACCTCGATGATTTTCTGAATCCTTCGGGTACGATCTCTGGATTGTTAAATAAAAAAATCGTCAACTTAATTTGCAGTTTCTTTCGTTGTAAAGAATTTATCTAATGTCCTTTATTTACTCAGTAATTCACAATTCAATTACAATGCATTTTACTAGCTACAATCACTTGCATAAACTTTCACAATTTACTTTACTTAAATCTAATCTCCAACGCGTTTACTTTACGACTCAAATAGTTAGTTATATCAGCTATACTCTATGTTGTCGCAAACGAGTTCACTTTGCAACTAACTTAACTTGGCAGCTGAGTGTCGCCCTTATATAGCAGTCGGCTGCTCGTAGACGAAAGTGTAGAATAATCGAGTTGTTCGCTATCGAAGTTTCTCGTTTTATCGCTCTAGATTGTACTACTTACCGGCTTCTCCCTTTCGTCTGACATTCGCCACGCATTTTCGCCACAATATTAAAGATCTTGCTGAGTGTTGGTGAAAACAATTCCCGACTTCATGAACAAAAAAGAATATAGAAGAATAGACGGTCGGATGGAATTTTAGAGGCATTGTATAGTAAAAGATTCGCAACAATCAGTCGCTGGCCTCCTGACGATGTTTCGGAAGTTTTTCGAATTAATTTTGGTTTCACAAAAGCCTACGTGAATCGTCCGATACCCACTGTACCCAACCTACATACCTTATAAAGCGCTGGGCTACTCAATAATTATGAGAAAACCTTAAGTCCAATTAAATTTAGCGTAAAACGATTTGTCTTAACTTCTAGAAGTCAAAATATTGTTAGCGGTGCCAAAGGGGTATTTAAAGGGAGTTAAAACTGAGCTTTATCGCCGAATAAAATTTCCTTATGAAAATCGCTATTTCGGTGTGCGCCCATTTACCGAATGTGCGACGCGTATGATGGTCATTCAGCTTCGACTCGTTCACGAAATGTATTTCGTAAACAAGATCCTTCCGTAAAATCTGTGGGTCGGCACAGCTCCAATTGTTGTGCGCGGTTGCGGATGGGTTTGTGCCGATTTTCTTCGATACTCTGGTAAACATAGCAGCAATATCGTGTCTAGCCGGAGAAGCACAAAGAGTATTCCAAGGGAGTCAAAAGGTATCTCAATCGTATCAAAACTGACCTTCATCGCTGAAAAAAAATTTTTTTTAGGCCCATTCACCGAACGTGTAACGTGTCTGATGATGGTTCGGCTTCAATTTTTGCCCGAGGAATTTGTAACCAAGATCCTTTCGCAAAATCCTTTGGTCCACATAGCAGCAATATCGTGTCTTGTTGGAGGGGTACAAAGGGTATTCAAAGGAAGTCAAAAGGTATCTTAATCGATTCAAAACTGAGCTGTGGGCCCATTCATCGAACGTGCGATGCGTTTTCGACGCGCTCTATTTGACATCTCTGAGGAGGCGCTTTATACACTAGAGTAAACGTGGTGCGAAACCGCGCCATGGTTGCTGGAATCACCGACTCTCCTGACCTATTATGTCGACTAAAAATTGATCGAAGCACCGAACCATTGTTTTTGTAATAGATTTGCACGATTCGCAAACATTTTTCCAGAGTAAGCCTGTTCATCATAAAATTTCAACCCAAACTAAACATTGAAAACCACACTTCCAAAAAGAAAAGAAGCACCCTTTTCATGCGTGAAGCAGCGCTATTTCTTTACACATAAATAGTTCCTTCGCTAATTGCCCGCAGCCACAACACAAACAAAATCAAATCTAATCCCATTAGCTGGCAAAAGATGTCACAATAGAATGATATTTAACCTTCAGTGACATATAATTTCCATTCTCCGAGTGTCGACAGAGTCTGCATTTAACTGACACATAAATTCTTAGTGGAATAATTCAGTTAGTGACAGTTAGTTAACAGGGCTGGCGAAACTTTTGCGAGGCTTTTGCTGACTAACTTTGATTTGTACGGCGATTTGAATGTGGCAGGGGGTACAGAAGAACTGAAAGAGAGCGTG